TCCTATGACGCCAAGTCTAGTTNTGAACCGTACTAGTGATATCGATCAGGTATTGTTGGATGCAACGCGCTACCGAGAGTTAATTGGTGGTTTGATGTATCTGGCAGTGTGCACGCGTCCTGATATCGCGCATGCTGTGTTTAAGTTGGCGCGGTATATGTCTGAGCCGGCGAAGGCTCACTGGGAGGCTGCTAAGGATATCCTGAGATATCTGAAGGGGACTGCGAGTTTCGGTTTATGTTTTGCCAGGGACAGCAAGGCAATTGAGGGTTATGCCGATGCGGACTGGGCAGTGGACCGAGACAACCGCCGTTCGACAACTGGATATGCCTTTATCCTTGGCGGTGGAGCCGTCAGCTGGAAGAGTCGGTTGCAACCGACTGTAGCAGCATCGACTGTGGAGGCCGAGTATATGGCGGCGTCCCTAGCTACTCGCGAAGCGCTCTGGCTGAGGAAACTTCTGCCCGAGTTTGGGTGTGAGATCGACGTGATGCGCATCTGGGGTGACAACCAGGGAGCATTAAGTCTGATAAAGAATCCAATTGTTTCGGAACGTGCGAAGCACATCGATGTGATTCATCATTTTGTGCGTGAGAGGGTATCTATGGGGCAGGTGAAGTTTGAGTATTGTCCCACTACCAGCATGGTAGCGGATATCCTCACGAAGCCGTTACCGGAAGGGAAGTTCGTGCAGTTTCGAGAAGGGCTGGGTGTTCGTTGAGTTGGATTAGCCCGAGTGTTCCGTCCGAGGGGGAGTGTTGACTTCCGGCCAGAACACTAATGGCTGTACGACAGATAAGATGGAATGTTTGGTATAAAGGAGATGATGTTTTGACTGAAAGCTTGTTCTGTGATACCTGTAACGGTTGAGGTTGGCTTTACCTACACAGTTCCACTCGCCTATATCTTAACATTATTCTTGAAGGCTGAATGGATTTGGACGCAATAGTGATTGCCAGAGCGTTTACAAAGCGACTAACGGCTCAGCTCAGCCACAACTCACTACTCTAGAAGCATACCAGACCAAAGACAATCGCTGGCTCATTCCTATTTATTCACGAGTTCGACAGTCGATCAGCAAGTACGGAAGATGGCTCCACTCTATCCAGAAACCAAGCATCACGCAAGCATCAGGCGACAGACTGACCGGACAACATTTTCCTCAACACTCCCACGCGGGCAGTCTGCAAGCCTGTTCGACTATCGCACTCCCATAGCCAAACGGAATCGCTTGAACATCGCATGACTCAACGATTTCGTCATGCAATCGGCGACCATATCAGCCGTACCACAATAACTGTAGGTTTTCTGAGAGTAACGAAAGAAAACCAAGGTTTTCTGTGTATTTGCCGAGAGCGTACTCGGCTGTTCGTTGGTGGTACGGCGGGGCCGTACTGGTGAGAAAGTAGGGCAAGTCGCGGAGAGCGCGACGGAAAGTGCAATTTCGCGAGTTAATATAGTCAGTACTGACAGGTTTCCACTGCGTCGTCTGCCCATTACACCGCCCCGCGGCAGATAGCGCAGTCGGTAACCATGTTCCCTTTCCTCGGCTTAGAGGTCGCCCTAGTGGCAATGTTCGCGGGCATCGTTATGATGCCAGCTAAACGTAGAGTTGGTGACCAAGTGGTAGAGCTACAGAAGGTGCATGCAGACTTGCACGCGCAGTTGACCGCAATCGAACAAGCCGATGACTACCAGAAGGCCGCCTCCTTGCTGGCCTCTGACCCTCTAGCACGTTTAAACAAGAAGAAATTTTCTACCGCGATGGGCCACGCCTGGGATACCTGCGTCTCCTTGAAGAGTCAAATGGCGAGTGTCAGCGCGCACATTGCTCAACTGGAGATGACCATGGAGCAGCCAGCTATGAAGGTTCTCGTCTCCGATAAGTCTGGTCGCGTCATGGAGCGCCCATTTAAGGACCTGGACTACGTCAACGATGGCTGGGTCAACAAGTCGGGCAAGGAGCACAAGGCGCTCAAGCGGGAGAACCGGGAGCTGAACCAAATTTATCATGCCCTTCAGAAGGTCAACCGCAACCTGGAGGACGAACGCGAGGCGCGCCGCGACGAGGCCCCACCGGAGCAGATTGAGGAGTTGGAGAAGGCAACTAACGACGCCATCACCGAGGGTGAGAACTTGCTCACGGACCTGAACACGCGGCTGCGTAAGGCTATGTTGGTGGGTTGGGAAACCGTTGAGTCGTTGGACCTCCCTGACTGCTGCAAGTCCGAGGAGGAGCGTAGCAAGCTGTTGTCCGCGCACAAGCGTGTTGTTGCTGAGAAGGAGTGTGAGCGCAGGGGTAACAAGCCCTCGGCGCAGAAGCCGTTCGGTGCGGGT